GTCTTCCTGATTCTAGGCCCAACGCTCTATCCACTGTGCCACCTAGCTTCCATGTATCAGAAGCAAGCCTTGAACCCAGGCCCAGCTGGCTGTGAAGGTAATTTGGGAGCAGGTTGTGAAGGGTTCCCTCTACCTGAGGTGATGGGACTTTCTTGGGAAGCCCAGGTAGGAGCTCTCCAAAGGTCCAGGGAGTTTTCTCCTCCTAAAACAGGAGAAAGGCATGAGATCAGCCTGGGGTCTCACAGAATGCAACCCTAGCATTTGACAGAGGATGAACGGAAGTTACTTGCCCAAGGTCACATAGCCAGTAAGTGGAAGGACAAGTCGGGTTGAGACTTACCGAGCTCTGTCCTTGAGAGTTCTATATCCTGAGGCAGGGAATCTGAGGACCATGAAACACAGTTTACTTACTCGGTCCTCCACCATTGAAGACTGTGAGTAGTCTAAGGGGAGCTTACTGGACCTATAGGCAGGAACCCTAATTCCAAGGTGGGGCACTTGTGCCTACGGACTTCTGGCATCTTCACTAACCACTGTCCTAAAGCTCTCCTCCCCTTCTTGGCTAAACTCTGTGAAATCCATCTGTTCTGGGTGCCTCAACTTCCCTTTCTCTCACCAGGTTCCAAACCCCAGTGCAATCCCACTTCCAATTCTTTAACTGAAAATGCTCTTTATAAAGTTATTCAGGACCTCCTAAATTTCCAGAACCAATGGCCTTTTCTCAATTTTCATTCTCCTTGACTTCTCTGCAGCCTTTGACACTACTGATCATTCCTTGACACTCTTCTTTCTGGGTTGTTGGGACCCCCCTCTCACTCTCTCCTGGTCCTCCTCCTCCCTCTCTGACCATTCCTCCTCTGTCTCCTTTGCTGGATTCTCCTCTGGATCACACCCTCTAACCACAGATGTCCCTCAGGGTCCTCTACTGGTCCTTTTCTCTTCTCCACCTATACCACTTCCCTTAGTGACCTCATCATCTTCCATAGATTTAATTATCATCTATGCTGATGATTCTCAAAACTGTATATCCAGTCCTAACCTCTCTCCAGAATTCAGTTTGCCATCACTTACTGACTTACTGCCTTTTGGACATCTTGACCTAAGTGTCTCATAGGCATCTCAAACTCCACATGTCCAAAACTGAACTCATTACCCTTTCCAAAATCCCTTTCCTCCTCTGAACTTCCTTATTACTGTTGAAGGCACTATCACCCTTCCAGTTAGCCAGGTTGGCAACCTAGCATCCTTAATGACTTACTCTCGCCCAAATGCATAATCCATTGTCAAAGCTTGTCATCTCCTTCTTCAGAACATCTCTCACGTATATCCCCTTCCCTCCATCCACAGAGTCACCCCCCTAATTCAAGACCTCACTCGCACAGGACAATTGCAATAGTTTTCTAATTATCTCTCCGTCTCAGTTCTCTCCCCATTCCCTGTATGTTCCACTCAGTTGCCAGAGTAATTTTTATAAAGGACTCAAAATAAAATGCAGCTGGGACACAAGTCCAGCAAGAATTCCCGGAAAAGTTATAAGCAAGTGTTAAAGAAGGCACTAAGAAATCATTTTAAATTTAATTATTTAAATTTATTTTAAAATCCAAATGAAAGCGAGGAACAAATGGAAAAGAAGCAAGAGCTAGGAAAGAAAGAAAAAGAGAAATAACAGCTTTTTAAAAGTTCAATGAAGAAAATAACTCCTTGATAATTAGAATTCACCTAATGGAAGCTAGCAACTCCATGAGACATCAGGGAATAATAAAACAAAATCAAAAGATTGAAAAGATAGAAGAAAATATGAAATATCTCATAGGAAAAACAACTGATCTGTAAAAGAGATTGAGGAGAGAAAATTTAAGAATCAATGGACTCGGGGGCAGCTGGGTGGCACGGTGGATAGAGCACCAGCCCTGGAGTCAGGTAGACCTGAGTTCAAATCCGGCCTCAGACACATAACACTTACTAGCTGTGTGACTCTGGGCAAGTCACGTAACCCCCAATTACCTCATTAAAAAAAAAAAAAGAATCAATGGACTCCTTGAAAGCTATGAACAAAAAAAAAATGCCCAGATATCATATTTCAAGAAATCATCAAGAAAAGTATCCAAATATCTTAGAACCAGAAGGCAAAAGTAGAAAATGAAAGTTATCTCCTGAAAGAAATCCCAACATGGAAACTCCCAGAAATATCACAGCCAAATAGGAAAAAAATATTGCAAGCAACCAGAAAGAAAGAATGCAAGTACTGAAGAGACATAATCAGAATCACACAAGATTTGGAGAACACCACCTAAAGAAACAGAGGGATTAGAATATAATATTTTAGAAGGCAAAAGATATGGTAGACCTGCAGCCAAGACAAATCTACCCAACAAAACTGAGTGTAATGTGATGGGGGAGAAAATGGATCTTTAACTAAATAGGGGACTTCCAAGCAATCCTGATAAAAAGATCAGAGCTGAGTAGAAAATGTGACATGCAAAGATGAGAGTCAAGAGAAGCATGAAAAGGTAAACATGAGTGAGAAATCATAAGCACGGTTAAAGCGTTAATATTCTTGTATGGGGAGGTGTAGCCCCTCAGAGCTTTATCATCACCAGGGGCCAGAGAGGAAATCTCATTGGGCAGAGGGCCTGGCTGCGATTCTGCTGTGCTTGGATGATCTCCAAAGAAGAGTGGCATGGGGGGTAGCTAGGTGGCACAGTGGAGGGGCAGCGAGGCGGCGCAGCAGATAGAGCACCGGCCCTAAAGTCAGGAGGACCTGAGTTCAAATCCAGCCTCAGACCAAACACTTGACACTAGCTGTGTGACCCTGAGCAAGTCACTTAACACCATTGCCTTTAAAAAAAAAAAAAGAATGGCATGGGTAGGAAAGAGGAGAGCGTGGGAGTGGAGGAGGGACAGGAAGAATGGAGAAATTATCACTGTAAGGAGGGACTTCTCAGCAATCAACTGTCTTTCTAGACAATTTCATCCATAAAGGGGATTCATTATCGTCCCTTTGTTGATGAAGCCCAAATCTCTCTCTCTGCCTGGAGCTCCAGACCTAAACCTCCAAACTCCCTCTGGACATCTCCCATGAACATCTCCTAGGTGTCTCAGACTGGACACTCTCTTCCCTGCTAAACCTGCCCCTCCTCCAAACATTCCTGCCTCTGTTGAAGATGCCATCATCTTCCTGTCACCCAGCCTTATCGTTCCACAAGGACCTCACAGGCCGCCTATTCCATCACCTTGGTTTCACAACAAGGAAACAGACGAGGGAGATGGAGCGCTTTGCCTGAAGTCATGCAGTCAGTAAAGGCCAGAGCTGGTCAGTGAGCCCACGTCCTCTGACTCCCAGCTGAGGTCTCTCGTCCACTGGAGCAGAGCACACCACACCGCTTCTACGTTTGCCCCCTCAGGACCCTCGTTAGCCATTTAGGCTAAATCTTCTCTTGCAACATCTCCCCCGACTCCGCTCATAAGGCCACTGCCCTCTCCAAGCTCCTGCCCTAGGGATCTCCTGTTTACTTTCGACCCGCACCCCATGCCAAAGTGATATTCCTAAAATACACATCTGGCCAGGTGACCATTCCAGCCTGCCATTGGCTGGGGAGGTTGCAAGAAGAATTCTTTTGGGGTGTGGGTTGGCAGCCTTGGTACCTGTCAACTCCCCAATTGTGCTGTGACCAGTCACTTCTTCACTCAAGAAGCTCCAATGACTCCCTTCTGCCTTTTCAGACTTATTGTACATCTCCCCAATACACAGTCCATGTCTTAGCCAAACTGGCTTACTTACTGGGTTCAGTTCCTGCCTCCCCACCTTTGCCCTGACTGTCCCCCATGCCCAGAGTGCCCTCCCTCCTCCCCAAGGCTCAGCTCAGAAGCCATCTCCCTGTTGAGTACTTTCCCAGGCCCCCAGCTGCTCCTGCACTCCTTGTCTCTCCCTTCAAAATCACTGTGTATTTCCATTGTTGGTGTAGACATGTTGTTTCCTCCCCTGCCCCGGTAGAATATAAACTCCTTGAGGGCAAGAACTGTTTTGTTTTTGTCATTTTATCCCCAAAATGGAGTAGAGTGCCTGGCACATAGTAGGTAGGAATGAAGGAAGGAAGGAAAAAAGGAAGGAAAAAAGGAGGCAGGGTGGGTGAAAGGAAAGGAAGGAGGGAGAGAAGGAAGGAGGGAGGGAAGGAAGGAAGGAAGGAGGTTGGAAGGAAAGGAGAAAAGGAGGGAGGAAGGGAGGAAGAGAGGAAGGAAGAAAGGAAGGAAGGGAGGGAGGGAGGGAGGAAGAGAGGAAGGAAGGAAGGAAGGAAGGAAGGGAGGGAGGGAGGGAGGGAGGGAGGAAGGAAGGAAAGAAAGAAAGAAGGAAGGAAGGGAGGGAGGAAAGAAGGAAGGGAGGGAGGAAGGGAGGAAGGGAGGAAGGGAGGAAGGAGGGAGGGAGGAAGGAAGGGAGGGAGGAAAGAAGGAAGGGAGGGAGGAAGGGAGGAAGGGAGGAAAGGAGGAAGGAAGGGAGGAAGGGAAGGAGGGAGGGAGGAAGGAAGAGAGGAAGGTTGAAAGGAAAGGAAGGAAGGCAGGCAGGCAGGAAGGAAGGGGTGGGGGGTTGGCTGGCTTTTGCCCCCATCCAGGCTCGCTCCCACGAGCCGCGATGGCCCTTCTCTCCGCCCGCCCAAGGCACCCTGCCCGCCAGCTTCCTCAGCAGGCAGCAGACAGGCTGGCTCAGTGCCTGAGCATCGCCTGGGCCTGACATATTTTGGGCAGAGGCGTGGGGGAGAGGGAGCCATGTGGCTGATGTTAGTAAACAGTCTCTTGCACAGGCTGGCGGCCACCATGGGCAGGCAGCAGGAGGGTGATTAGCTGGCAGATCACACTGGACGGATGGGGCTGCCGGGCGGGGACAAGAGACAGGCCAGAAGCGAGCAGCTGCTCCAGTTGCCATGGAGACGGGAAGCTGAACAATGAGGCTCCAATCCAGCATGTCAGGCGCTGGTGAAAGGCGCCCACCACACCCAGCCCCCACCCCCTTGCCCCGGACACCAGCCTGGACCTCCCAGGCCTCCCCAGGGAGGAGAGAGGAGCCAGCCAGCCCGGGGGGGGGGGTGAGGAGAGGGAGTGGAGAGCCCAGCCCCATTACTCAAAAACTGGCCAATGGGTTGCCTGGGATTAATGCTGGAAGATCCCCTAGCGACCATCTAGACGGTTTCTCCTTCTTCCCATTTTACAGGTGAGCGAGCCGAGGCATCGAGGGGGGAGAAGGAGCGTGACTTTGTCGCAAGAGAAGCCACGGGGCGTGGGGAGGGCGGGGAATAAAACCTGGGTTCTAGTCTGACTTCTCACCAAAGAACCCTTCGTGCGACCGACCGCGAATCAAGTGGCTACTAGTCTTGTGTGGTCTAAATTCTAGTATTCTGTGCTTCCCTAGGGCCAGGACCGGAGCTCGAAGGCAGGCACGCAGCCGCCAAGCCAGGGCTCTCTCCATCACCATGGATTGACCCGGTTTGTCTCCTCTCCCACCCTGAAGCTGCCCTTTACTTTCTGTGTCCTCAGAATGCCACCTCAGAGCAGGGAACAGAGAGCAGCGGAAATGAGCGCCCTCTCCCCATTCCCCCCAAAAAGAAATAGGACGACCCTCGGAACAAAGGATGTCAGATGTGGGAAAGACCTTGGAACAGGGAGCAGAGAGGGTCAGAGCTGGACTTCCCACTACAAAGTCCCGAGGACGCAGGAGTCAGTGTCCTGGAAGATCTCCAGGGAAGAGAAGCTGCCGCCTCCCAAGAGAAGCCCATCCCACTTTCCTAGGGCTCTATAAACTTGACTCGACTCTGCATCTCCTTCCCTTTGCTCCCAGTGTCCCAGTTCTGGAACCAAGCAGAGTAAGTGAATTCTCTTCCACATGACCCACCTTCAAATACTGGAAGGCTGCCACCATGTTCAACTAAGTCATTTTCTAGAAACATTCATTATTATTATTGTTATTATTATATCCCCCTGGAGTCTTTTTGTCAGTCTAAACACTTCTAATATCTCCAACAGATCCTCTATGTAAAGGTTGTTATTTTTTAAATTTAAATGTCCTCAATTAACAAAAATCCACCTGCTCCTCCCTCCCCATCGGAAAAGAAAAACAGAAACCATGTAACAAAACTTCACAAGCTACAAATGCCCACATTGGCTGTGTCCACGAAATATATGTCTCATCTGAATTCTGAGCCCTCATCTACCCATCATTCTATCAGCAACCAAGCAGCTTGTTTCATGATCGGTCCTTTGGACTCCTGTTCCTCTTTATGTCGATCAGAGTTCTTAGATCTTTCAAAGTGGTTTGTTTTTACACTGTATGTCATTGTATAAATGGTACTCACTTCACTCTGAATCAGTATGCAAAAATCTCTCATATAGATAGATAGATAGATAGATAGATAGATAGATAGATAGATAGATAGATAGATAAAAACATTCAGCCATTCCCAAGTAATGGACAACTCCTTCATTTCCAGGTGTTTGCCACCCCAAAAAGAGGGGCTCTGAGTGTATTTGTACAGATGGCTCCTTTTCCTCCTCCTTTGATCTCAGGTAAAAGCCTAAGAGTTAACAGCTCCATCATCGTGCATTATCATACATTGATATGCCTTTTTTGCCAAAGTCCCTCCAACATTTATCATTTGGTCAGTTTTCTCACTCTGAGAAGTGTGTGGTCTAATCTAAGAGTTGCTTTAATTTGCTCATGATTTGGAACATTCTTTCATGTAGCTTCAGCAGTTTAGATTTCTTCTGAAAATTTCCTGTTTATATCTTTGACCATTTTTCAACTTAAGAATATAGGGTTTGTTTCATCCTTGTCCCCCCAATTCCAAGCCCACTTCATGGTACAAAGTCGATGCCTGATGAATCTTGGTTGATTAATTGATGTGGCTGGAAGTCAAGACCCTTCAACACTCTGGTTGACCTCCTCTGGACACTCTCCAGCTCATCAACGCCCTACCTACACCTTGGTGCCCAAACTGAACATGGCACTCCATGGATATAGTCCAATGAGGGCAGAGCACAGTAAAACAGTCACCTTCCTCTGACTGGTAGCTTGGTCTCAAGATGGCATCAGCCTTCTTGTAGACCACATCCCACCAATGACCCCTACTGGGCCGCCCTTTGGACCTGACTGCATTCCATTCTTTCATTTCAGTTCAGCAAACAGTAAATACAGGTTCTTGTCATGTGCACTGAGAGGACAAAGATGACAAATGTCACAGTCTTGACTTCAAGGAACAGATGAATGGCAGGGACACACACACTCACACATACACACCAGAATGGGAAAAAAAAAAGCTAGCACAGGATGAGGGCAGCAAAGTAGTCTATGACAATCTGAGGAGAGAGAAATGACTGTGTCCATGAAGGAATCAAGGAGGGCTTCTGGGGGAGGTCACACCTGGGCTGAACCATGAAGGCAAAGACTGACAGGTAAAGCTGGGGCTGGGGAGAGGGACTGGCCAACTAGGTGTGCACAGATATAAGAGGGAAATCCTCAGAACTGTCCGCGGTGTAAGATGTATGCAGTGGAGAGAGAAGGTTTGGTAGCAGGTTGCAGCCAGAGGCTGTGGGCAGGCCTCCAACGTCCCCCTGAGAGCCTCCAGTCTGCAAGCAAGCCCTGAAGGTTTCTGAGCAAGGAGGAGCTGGCCTAGGGACTCTCCACCTCCTGCCTCTCTGTACCAGTCAAAGCCCCCAGTGAGCTTGCTGAGCCCCACTCTCACCCCTTTCGTGACATCCACCCCAGGGATGGCATCTACAGGGTCCTAAATTCCTTTTTTGGTCACATTTCCTATTTTTAATGGACTACACGGAACTCACCACTTAAAGGAACTCAGCTTAGGTGTCTTGCTGTAAAAGGAGTCCAATAAACATGACTGATTACTCTCTAACTTAGCTATTTCCTACATGGAGACTTTTACATATATAAAATCTCTTTTTTCCACTTAAACTGGAACCCACTTGGAATTAGAAGGGACCATCTGATCTAACTTCTTTCACATGTAAAGTACTCAGGAAGACCTGAGTCTCTGGCCTCAGACACTTACCAGCTGTGTGACTCTGGGAAAGTCACTTCACCCTGCTTGCCTCAGTGTCCTCATCTGTTAAGTGGGGATAATAAGATCCCCTACTTCCCAGACTTGTCTTGAAGATCAAATGAGACCATAATTGTAAAGTACTTAGCACAGTACCTGGCACAGAGTAAGTACTTAATACAGTCTTCTCCCTCTTATGTACAAATACTATTCTTATCTAAACAATTTGACATTTCCAATAATCCACAACTTTTTTGGTTTGGGGTTTCCATCCACCAAGGCAAAACTCAATGTCCCTCTCCTCTCTACCATGATAAATCATTTCTTTCAATAGATACGATGAGCTCCCTGAGGGCAGGGACCTGCACTACCTGAACTTTGCACCTCCTCAGCAAAGAGCACAGGGCTCTGCAACACAGTAGATGTTTAAGGAATGGATTTTGTGCTGCCATATTGTGGGTCTCATCTCCCAGGGCTATTGGGAAGAAAGTGTTCTCTGAGTCTTTACGTGGGATATCTTTAGATCTCCCCATCACATCACCATCATCATCACGGTGGTCATAATTGCCTTCATCATCTTCACTTTCACCATCACCATCATTGCCACCATCATCACCATGACCATCTTCACCATCACTATCACCATCATTACCATCATCATCATGACCATCTTCACCATCGCTATCACCATCATTGCCACCATCATCACCATGACCATCTTCACCACCACTATCACCATCATTACCATCATCACCATGACCATCTTCACCATTGCTATCACCATCATTGCCACCATCATCACCATGACCATCTTCACCATCACTATCACCATCATTGCCACCATCATCACCATGACCATCTTCACCATCACTATCACCATCATTACCATCATCACCATGACCATCTTCACCATCATCACCATGACCATCTTCACCATCACTATCACCATCATTACCATCATCACCATGACCATCTTCACCATCACTATCACCATCATTGCCACCATCATCACCATGACCATCTTCACCATCGCTATCACTGTCATCATCATCACTGAAGGCAACATCACCATTATTTGTGTTTTCTGGATCCGTCCAGCTTTCAATCCTAGTTCCTTCCCACAGTTTCCTCTGGAGACATAGTAAGCACTTCCTGGAAACACTTTTAGGTTCAACTGAGGCCCAACGTGTGAAGGGCCTTCTTAGTTCCCTTTGTGAAGCAGCCCACCAACTCTTCTCCCCTCAACAAAGGCCAAGGTGCTCTGCTCCCAGCCCCCTTCAATAGATACCACCCCCCTCAGCCAATGATCTGGTCCTGAAACCCCCAGGATCGATGCAGCTCCCTGGAAAATCAACCTGAAACCTATTCAGGGAGAGGAAACTGCCCACACCATCCCAGCCAGGTATGAAAGGGGAGCGAGAACCCATGTAAAAGGAACTTTTTTCTTTTCTTTCTTTTTTTTTTGTGACTTTCGAGGTAGATAATGAGATCTCATGGCCAGACAACATTTTTTGACTCGTGAGAGGAGGATCAGGCCTCTTAAGTTACTGGAGGAGTGAATTGATGCCTTTGTTTCCAATACAAGAACTGAAAAACACCAACACCCCCCCTACACTCCAGCAGACCTGCCCCAGCCCCTACCCTTCCTGCAGAGGTTTGGGCTTCATTGACTGGGGAAAGAAGGGGCCAGAACAAAGCCCCTGGGGAATGTCCCTCATCTACCTTGTGTTGTCTGTGACCGTTTGCCTAGAAGCCAGAAGCCTGGAGGTAATGGTGGACAGCCCCATGAACAGGGTTTCCCCAATGCCTGGCCCCCAAAGGACTCCTTCACAAGGATCCCCAAGCAATGGTTTCCGCTTGAGCTCCCCAGAATCAGTGGAGTGTCTTTCCCTGCACACAAATGCACCATGGAAGGCCAGGAGGAGCCTCAAAGGAGTCAGGATACCCAAGGCTAAGACCTCTCTGGGCCTCAGTGTCCTCATCTGCAAAATGAGGATGGTGGCTTTGACCTCTGCTCTCCATGTAGGATCCTATAGTCAGGGTGTGTGTGTGTGTGTGTGTGTGTGTGTGCATACTTACACATTTTAAGAGCAGACAACTGCTTCAATGGAGTGATTTAAGGGGTGCTAGAAAGACCCTTCTGCCTGAAATTCCACCATTGTGTTTCTCCTTAGTAATAATTTTCATTTCTCTAGCGTATCAAGGCTCCCAAACGTCATAACATTTGCAAAGCGCTTTGCCAACCTTAAGGGGCTGTATACATAGCCTTTGCATGCTTCTGTTAGCTATTCTTTCTAAAAAGCTTTTCCCCAAACCTGAGGCAGGGACTCGATCTGTAATCCGTGCTGACAGCTGAACCTTCAAGTCTCAGTCACCTTGGGCAGCCAGCTCGGCAGCTGCTCCCTTCTTGGGCTGGCCTCAGCGGGACCTTGGGCTCACCTGCCCACAGGACCTGCCACATTTCCCCCATCCCTTGTTTTTCCTCCTTTGTCCTGGGTCCAGTCTTTGCTGCGGCTTAGATAGCCCTGAGCAGGCCCGGCCCTGCTTATCTCAGCAGACCCAACAAGAATCCTGCCTTCGGTGGGATGGCCAGGGGGCCTCATAAACAGGGCTTCCTCTTAGGAAATAAGCAGGGGTAATTAAATACCCATTCCTTTTGGGGGGCTGGGGGCACATCCACAGAGACAAACAGATCCTTATCCTCTCTGAGGGCCAGGCTGGAAGGCCTAGTGCCCAATCTGCCTGATAATGTACCTATTACCAAGGCCTGGCTGGCCTGGGGGAGACCCGGAGAGCACACCCAGTGCTCGGACAAGGCCCACAGGCCGGCTCCCTCTCTTACAGATGGGGAAGCCAAGGAAGAGGAGCTCACCTTCTGCTTGGGCCCAAAGGGCAGATCCAGCTGCAATGTGTACAGGCTGCAAAGAGGCCCACTGAGGCTGGCTGGTGGGAAAACCCACCAGCAAGGAGAGCCGTCCCAAAGCTGCCAACAGGTTCTTACGAGGCGCATGCTTTCTACCAAGTACTGTAGCCAAGCCCAGGGGAAGAAACTAAGAAACGCAGAAAGCACAGCCCTACCCTCAAGGACCATGCACTCTAATGGGGGAAACAACATGTAAAAGACATAGTACCTGCAAGACAGGGTCTGTGCTCCATCCACTGCAACACCTCCTAGACAGAGCCGGGCCTGGACTCAGGAAGAAACTCAAGAACTCAAATCTGGCCTCAGACTCTCACTAGCCCTATTTAACCCCTGTGTGCCTCAGTTTCCTCAACTGCAACTGCCCCTCCTTCCCAGGGTTATTGTGAGGATAAAATGAAATACCATTCATCAAAAGCACTTAGCACAGTGCCTGGCATGCTATAGCTGCTACGAAAATGCTCTAATGATCACTATTACTATTACTACAACCCACTGCCTTTCCAAGATCCCTTTGGGCCAACCAATAGCTAAGATCAGAGAACCGGGGTGGGGGCTAGGGAGAGGAGATGGGTCATTGCCCCCCCCCCAGCTGCTCTGAACACTGGGATTGATGCTAAAATCATGGTAACTGTGAAAGAGTGGATTAGATCAAGGCAAAGGACAGCAGTTGGTGAGACAACGTTAATCCCCTCCATAGCCTCTGATTCTCCACCCCTGACCGCTGCTTTAACCCACTCCTGAAGAGGTCTGGCAGGAAGTCTCAGGAAATCTCCCTCAGAACACGCACAGAGGCTGGGTGTGATGCCAAGTCATTTTGGCAGGCAGGGCAGACTCGCTTCTGGAAGTGTGTGATGTAATAGGGTGGAGAGCTCTCCCCTTCAAAGCAAACCGACCTTGGGCACTCTGTGACTCTGCTGTGTTAATGACAGGCTGAAGAAATGGACTTTTAATTGGCTGCCGAGCCAGACCTAGGCACGCCCTCAAGGATGACAACAGCCAGAGTCAGCCTCCCTTTGCCTGGCTGCAGTCAAGTGAGGATGGAAGGACTGTAGGCCTCTGGCAGGGAGAGAGAGAAAGCAGCGAGCTCCTCTCCCCACCGGTTCTCCAGGCAGCCGCCAACACTTGCTTCTGCTGTTTCTGTCTCTATTGTATCTTTTCCTTCCTGACTTAAGTAATGGAATATTAGGAAAG